AAAAAACAGAAGGGGGGGGCAGGTGTGGAGAGTGCTGTGTAAGATAAGAAGTAAGTCTGGAGATCTCAGGTCAAATGCAAGTGAGGGAAGGGACTTACTGAAGGTAATTGTGAATGCAAGTTGTTGGGAGCATGTGTGTGCAACCACAAAGCAAAAGGAACACAAGTATGTTATCAAAGTCAATGTTGAGTGTGTTAGGACACAAACATTTATCAGTATATATAGTGTGGACCAGGTGTCAAGCCAAGCTTGACATTGCACCCTTTTGGTGAAGAGGTTCTATGTATGGTCCACTATATATGGTAATCCCTCACATAATGTCAAGCTTAGAGCAGTCAGGGGTTCGATCCTGATGTAGGGTTGTCTGTGAGCAAAAGTATTAGGCTGAGAATAAGCTTCCTAAAAGGGGGGGAGTGAATTTCTCGGTTGCTTGGAATACTGGGGCCAGGACTCTATATTAGGATATCTCTCCCTACCTCTAAAGGCTGTCAAGGTTAAGCTAGAAATAGTAACCCTTGGGGTCAAACTCTATATACTGGTCATGTGAGGACACATGACTCTAGAGAGGAGAGTAATGTTAGGACACAAACATTTATCAGTATATATAGTGTGGACCAGGTGTCAAGCCAAGCTTGACATTGCACCCTTTTGGTGAAGAGGTTCTATGTATGGTCCACTATATATGGTAATCCCTCACAGAGTGAATTATTGACAAGGGATTGAGAGTTGTCACTGCTTGTTACAGAGCCAAGTCTGAGTGAAAGTGTGTCTAGAGAGTACTGTGTGAGGCTGCAAATGGTACTCAGCAAGTTTATCAAAGTCAATGTTGAGCAGATTATTGACAGGGGATTGAGAGTCATTACTGCTTGTTGTAGAGCCAAGCCTGGGTGAAAGTGTGTCTGGAGAGTGCTGTGAGAGACAACAAAGTAAGTAAGATAATGAAGTAAGAGATACAAGCAGTGTGAACAGTCAGAAGACCTTGATGAAGCTGTTGAGTTATGCTGCACTACTTGCAAACTTCAACCTAATGGCCATCCTTATTGTTCTGAGTCTCTAAACAACCTTGCAAATTCTGTATATGCTTGAATCAGGTAGTAGCAGTGTATTGAAGATTATCAACAGACATATGACACAGTAAATAGAGCATGGTGACAGCAATGAAAGAATCTGTAAAAACAGTAGTAACACATGTAGCACTCTCTATCCTGTGAACTGTGAGAAACTGTGTGATAGTGGTAAAGTCAAGGATTGCTCTGAAGAACACTATAGTTAGTGCAAACTGAGCTAAGATGGAGGCATAGATGGCACCTGTTAAAAGAAGATTCATTTTGCTCACTGCAAAAGTTGGTAAGATGGTAACAAGGAATCAGCCTAGTGGAATACTCACAGTGCCATATTTGATTAGCAAAAACAGTTGTACAGATGATCAACAGATTGTCATTTGCTGCATGTGACCACAAAATTACCTTACATGTAAATAGTGTGTCTAATATTCACTACAGGTCTGTATAACTGTCCAATTTGCCTTCCTCATTGTTCTGTTCTTTACTTTCAAGATCCTTGTCATTACTATCAGTCTCCTCCTCCTCTTCTGATACTTCACCATCCATCTCATCATTGTTTTGTTCTTGTAGCATGTCATGTAGTAGGTAGCTATTTAAATGCTATGTACTTTTGTGTCTGATTCCTCTGCCTCAATAGTGTATGAACATGTCCCTATCAACAAATCTGCAGTAAATTGGACCAAAAATGACTCAGCATTAATACATTCCAAGTTTGAAAGCCTCAACAACATGCTTACATGTTTACAAAGTAAAATTTGTAATCTTTGTTCTTATCTTTAGGTTGGCAAGCAAGGGATGGAGGCAAGAGTGTTTAGACAGTACCCTTGGAGAATTGTAGGATTAGATGAGCACCTTGAAGAATAAGGTCTGGGTCAATGAATCCAAAGGTACTAGGATCTGTATGACAATAGAATTGCAATTGAGGGAGTCGTCTCTCAACAAACAAGCTATTCTTATTGACTTTCATTCAGTGAACCTAAGCAAAATTGAGCCAATTGAAGTTTTGGAAGTTAGGGTTGGCCCCTGGACCTATATAGCTGACCTCTGTATGAAAAAGTCTGATTATTCAAGTGTAAATGTAGGGATGTTCAGTGTTATCCAATAGTAACATGATATCAGCATACATCTGTGGATTGAGTGAATCTTAGGCTCTCCTGACATTGTAGGTTGTGTAATTGATGTATAGCACTTTGAGACGGAAAAGCTTGTCATTTTTTATACAGAGGCTGCATAGCTTGTCTGTGGTGTGTTACGGTTCTCCGCTCTCGTACCTTCAGTTCCGAGGATTCCGCACCCTTCCGTACCGGAACTCGGGACTTCCGTCCCTCGGGGGCGCTGTCTATGGACTATATGCGTGCTGACTCTTGCCACTACCCTTCCTTACTTCATCATTCCATTCCTTTGACCACCCCTTCATTCTTTGTATCATTCTATGGTCTCTTACCCTTTGTCCATCCCTTCATTCTTTGTACCTTTATCTTTGACATTCCTTTCTTTCATTCTTCGTGGCTTATCATTCTTAGTGGCTCATACTCCCTGAGTGCTCTTGTGTAGTTTAGTATATATAGGCG